ATACTAGAGATAATCATTTAGTGAATAACCACGAAAGTCTTAAAATCCTGTTCAGAATATTTCTAAAAAAATTGACAACTTTTTATTGACGTTTATATACATGAACAAAGTAAAGAGCACCTCGTAATTAAAACAAAAAAACAACGTGTACAGGCTGTGCTGGATAATAGGTACAAATAGACCATAGATGACAACTTGCACGTTCCGTCACTTGCTATCATAAAAAAAGTTATGATGCTGCAACCAGAACAGTCTACAGATTGCCCAACTGGTCAATTACTTACAGCAAAACTTTCGCATTCTGATTAATTCATTCATTCGTGAGTTATTTATTACCTTACAGATGGTGACTTTATTACCTTTGTGGAATACACTGTTTTGTATCTATTTTGGTTTTTATTTTACGTATTTAAGTGTTATATCATAATATCATTAAATTGCTGCAACAAAGATCGACTTTGCCTCCGTGACCGAACGGTTACCATACTGGTCTGCCACGCAGAGGTCCCGGGTTCGATTCCCGGGGCGGGAAAAATATTTGTATTGCCTACATTTATTATATACATACATACATACTACATATATACATACAGGATACAGATACAGGGTTTCCCTAGTGCGGGGCTATGAGTGTGTGCGTAATTATTAAACATTAAGAAAAATTCATTCGATCCGACAGGATTTGAACCAGCACCTTCAGGCAATCCGTGCCAGACCTTACGAGATTTTCTATGTGTTGAATTGTGACAGATCTTTGTTTTTGGTTTTTAAGGACTTTTTTGCCGTATGCATTTTTGTTAGTGTTTCGATCATTATTGTAATAATTATAACAAACTAAAGGAGTTATTTACAAAAAAAAAAAATATATCATGATAGTGAAACATCGTGACAGTTAAAAATTACAATATCATTACATTTAAACAAAATTGGTTTTAAAACCGACTGTAATAAAGCGCCGTCTTAAAACCCGGGTACGGTTGATAGTGAACTTTAAAAATAAAACCTGCTTTTGCATTCAGAAGCCTTACCATGAACTCTCATTATGATTCAGTTGAGGCCCTAACATGAATCGTTGTGAGACAGCGCTACATGAAGTGTATATCACCATCTCGCTTTTTTGACGTTCCGAGCCTATACTGAACTGTAATAATAGTTCATGATAAGGCCCCTGCTGTATTAAAAAAAATGAAATCAACTTTTATACAATTAATTACAATATATATAACAGCATTGTTACAAATCCAATCAAAATCCCAGCAGCACTTGCTGTTTTAAGTTTAATAAATTTTCGAAGTTTAAACCATTCTTCTCTAAACATACCACCGGATAGTCTTTTGATTTGTTGAGCACGTTGAGCACCACATTGTCACTGTTCACTTCGTCAAATGCTAGTTGATTTGGACCAGTTTAGTCGTCGATACTACAGAACATTAAATATAGTAGAAGTGGTTAGTTATGGCGTCTGACGCGTGGCAACAGTAGGTCTCGTTAGACCTACTTGAGCTCAGTCTGCCACTTCTGGTTATATACTCGATGATCTGCCATTTTCGATTTGTATGGTATTATAGCATAGGACGTAGTTCAGGTAGTGTAGTGAGAGATCCTTTAAAATATAAACTAGGAATATCTTCATAAATAATTATTTGTTACGTATTTTACATGTTGATTTTTGGAGGCTTTTTCTAGAACTGCCAAGATGTTTTTTTTTTTTAATTTATTAAGACTTTGGCAAAGACATCAGCCTAAACATGAAGTTTAATTGTTTCTGTACATATGGCCGCCACAAAAGGGGATAGGCAATTTGAGGCGGCGTGTTTGGATTGACTCGGGATTCCTTAGAATGGGCCGATACGGGTATTTTAGTTCGAGATTCGTATAATTTCGCGTTTTAATCTTCGATTATGGTACAATAGCACTATCCTATTCCACTTTAAACTAGATTTCACAAAATAATTGAAAGTCAACATAAAAACGACACTTTTCCCTCCAAAATGCCCAGAGCGAATTTGCCAAGATGTTCTTCTTTTTTCTATCCTATTTTTTTAAATACATTCCAAACACAAATCTATATTCATTCAGCCAGTACTTCTACTCATAGAGTAGAGCCTAGACTACAGCGTTATTGAATCATTTTTTCGCGCGAATTTCTTTAAAATCATAGAAGAATGCCTTATTGTGCTGTTTTGGATTGCAACAATAATAGCCGCACCAAAAATATTACCCATAGTAGAATTTCATATCATCGGTAAAGTCTTATTGTAATAAATTTTCAATTTTCTGTTCATCGAATTGTTTTTACGTACTGTAACAAACGAAAGTAAATATTATCCCAAAGCAATATGGTCCAGTCTTATCTTTTGCAGAACTAAGTAAACATCTTGCAACATTTTCCACGCTAGTAGCGAACAATTTTAAAAACAATTTTGAAAATTCATGAGCGTTTTGTTAATTTCAAAACTTAATTGATCGAAATAAACTTTACTATGTAATGTGTGTTAAAGAAGACATCTGTTGTCAAGAAGATACTACTTTCTCAGATTTAGATGTTAATCGTTCGTCGTAGTCCAGCTACTAGCCGCAAGATGGCAACACAGCATAAAATTTCGTAACTTGCAATAAAGGTATTGAAGTTTCAACGATATAGCAACTGGGTAAAGTTTAAATTATATTAACAATCCAGAATTTATTATGTATTTTTAAATTAGAAACTATAACCAATCATTATCTAGATTTCGTGTTCATCATTTCTTTGTTTTGGCGTTTAGGCGACATTGCAGCGATTCCGATAGTAATCGAGGCTTAGGGCATTGTGGTTGAGACTTTGGGCTCCATCACATAAATGAGAGGGGCGACATAAAACAATATTTCGATTCATAAAGTCACATTATGAGGTCTGGTGGGGTGGCCATGAAATGGGACCCCCGCGACTGATCCTACCATTACCGTTTACTATATTATATAATAACGAATACCGACGGCCTAATGAAGCTGGGCACCGTCCTGCCGATAACAAAAATCAGAACGGTTAATGAGCATAAGCGGCTCGTCGTCCATAAAATCATAAACCATACTACATAACACACCGAGATACGTGCCTCCGCTGGTCAGCCCTCAACGAAATATGGCCCCCAATTTGGTGGTGTACACATTTTCATTTCCCGCTGTTACCATTTTTTATATCATGTTCGTTGTGTTATATATCCCCACGTAAGTAAATTGAGCTTCGTCAGTTCCCAAAGCAACGGCACCACATTAGCCAATTGCAGAATGTTCGACGTGGCGTCTGCCTCATTTAACGTCTGATGTACTTTTTTTAAATTTATTTCATGAAAAATATAGCAGGTAACTCATTTACTAAAAGTCGCCAAATTGCTGTGCAGTTTGTTGGCGACATGTGCACCCCTACTTAATTATACCTACTTTACAATGTATTTTATAACATTACGTAATATTTACTGTACTTGCTAAATAAAATACCTATAAAAATTACATTAAAGGTACGCTTTTAACCTACATTTTAGGATATTTACTTAATTTTGTGTCATTCACTTAATTTTGTGTCTTAGCCAATCAATATATTATATATTTTTGGAACTAAATAATGTGTACATCTTTTCCGTAAAAGTTATTTGCTTTAAACCGCACTAGTTTACCCTGCTTTACTCGTTTTGTCAAGTACCTATTCGTAAGCCTAACTTTATAATTATCGCTCTAGTAATTTTCCAACACTATCAAATATATGCTCTTTATTTATATTGGCATAACCTTAGAGTGACTAAATAAGTCATTGTATTCTGTGCCATTGCATTTCACTTTTTTGGATACTAAATGTTTTATCAGCCTAATTTGTACCTTCCTGATTTCTTTTAGATAACTAGCAAAGGTCCGACCATATACATTTAATCCGTAGCTGATAAGCGAGTCTGCTAGTGCATGATACACCATACACAATGTTCTTTTTATCTAATATATTATTTATAAATGAAAAACCTACCAAGTATTCTATTTATTAAATTTCATACAGACTAACTAACTAACTAACACTAACATGCATCTTCCAATTAAAATTACGTTCTATAATTAGACCTAGATATTTAAAGTTTTCAACGTACTCTAAATTAGCACAAGTACTTACATCTTATTTTATTCTTATGTAAACACTTTGGTGCTACTCAGGTTGACACTTTTTTTCGAATTGACTTACGTCATAACGTCGTGGTGTATCTCGAGTACTACTTTAGGGCCCCCTTTTAAAAAAATCCTGCTGTTATTACTGATACAAAGGTCGAACACAAGAAAAATTGTTTTGATCTGACTGGACTCGAATTATTTAAGAATAAATTATCTAACTTTGTACGTAATTTTATTTGGAGATATTTCTCTTCAAGTACTACAGAGAGTCTTGTAAATTTTGTTTTCAACTGAAGCCCAATTAGTTATTAAATTCACATTTATCCCAAAATTTGCAAATTGCCCAGCGGTTTAACGTCACGCCGCGCCGCCCGATGCTCCATCAGTTGCCATCTGGCGCTTGTCGACCATGGATCTGTATCAAATTTTCTCTGCCAGTTCTTATTTTATTCGTATTAATTGACAGCGCGCAGATTGCGGGACGAGAGGGGCGATTCCCCCACCTCACCTCCTAAAATCGAGGCTTCCGTTGAAATACTTCGTCTTAAACATTGACTTACAATTATATGGATGTCGGGTCCGCGCTAAAAAGTGTCCGCACTTGTAAGGCGCTAAAATCGTATACAGAGCGCCAAACTCCGCTTTAGTCTTCATTTGTTCTACTGACAGCGCGATACTGCGATGACATTACAATTTAAATTTCGAATAGGTTGACTGGGGACATTTTTTCCGTGGTTTTTGTATTAGACCCGTCGTCCATTTATTTGTAAGTCCATGGTCTTAAACAGCTTTTTACGCCGTCAGCGCGCCTGTGAGTAACTCATGAAGTTACTCGATGATAATCACAAGTGCGTTGACGATCAACCATCTTATATTGATATTTTTCCTGGAAAATTGTATTATCGTGCAATTTTGCTAGGATTTAGAATTTGCATCGGAGCAACCGACTGAATCATTGTAGCTAAAGTAAATATTATTGGTATTTGTTTATCCTACTATAGCGAACAGCTTATTACATTTTGAAAGCAAATGCATTACAACTAGAAAAAGCATTATTATATAATATTATACAAAACTTTACGTAATCTTAACGTTGAATTTTCTTATTTCTCTTTTATATAATGTATAAAAATTGTACTTGATTACGTATAGCAGTTGTTTTCAATCGGTAAGCAAACTTTAATTAGAACGACAACATTCGTATTCGAAAACTCAATATAAACAGCTAAATAAACTAAAACTCGACTATTTTACACAAAACAGCAATTCATACGCAATGAAAATGAATTAGGGAACAAATTTTAACGTTTCTATAACTTTGACTGTGCCCCACCGTGCTCAATTTAAACTATTGTGATAAATAGTTAACTATTTATTCTTCATTAAGAAGACCGATGACAACGGCCTTGTTTTTTTTAAACAATTTAAACGCTAATCTTTTAAAATTTATTCCCGATATCTTACACTATCAGACCTGAAATATGAACAAACATACATTTTTTTTAATATCAAGTGAGGAACCGAACAAGTCGTGCGCCTGGTGGTAAGCGACACACCCCTCCATAACAGTTTGTAGTGCCACTCAGTACTTTGAATCACAAAACCCACTCTCGAATTATAATGCCTTTCATTATGCAACAGTCACGTTAACCAATATTATCAATCGTTGCATGATGAGGGTTCTTCAAGTCGAGTACCCTAAGTAATAGGTACGAGATTTTAAGACCTAAAATAATGATTGCATAAAATACTAAATAGTAAGTAGATAAATGTAGGAAATAAATGAAACAATCAATATTGAATGTATACTTTGTTCAATCATGACAATAAACCCAATTTTTTTTTAAATAAATTTTTACCCATTTATTTGGGTAGGAATCGGTTCCAACATACAGCCTCTTCATGTATTCAGACTAAAGGAAAACAAACGCTAGAAAACAAAAAACCGAAGAGATAGAATAGAAGCGGCCAAGTACTGCATTAATTTTAACCAATATTTTTTTTAAATAATAGTTTATGGCCCGTTTGCAAGATCCTTAGGCCAATTTAACTAATCAAGAGGTAGCTCGCTCTAGCGTTTGAGTAACGTCATGTTTCATATTTTATTTTACAAAAATACAACGTTCTTTTTTTAAAACTTCTTTTGTGTGCAGCACTATAATACTCTAAGATAATACTCATTAAACTTGTACTTTGAACCGTTCTTATCGTAAGCGCCATAGTTGGATTTAAGTCTTAAGTGTCAAGCTTGACGTACTCTTGATCCTGTACGTAGACTTTCCTTAATTAATTTGAATTGCACGGAAATATTGCATTGAAATATAGTAAATAATTAACAAAGAAGCTAAATTAGAATTAATATTGTCATGCCGATTTTACGCCGGTTAAGTTCATCGGCGTGTAGTGGCGTGCAAAAACCGTTGGCAGCGGCGTCTAGTATCTACGAGCACTATATAAACTTGTAGATAACTGTATAACTCCAAAATAAATTATTTCAATTTCAATGTGGTACCCACTCATTATTTTGTAATAAGCTATGGTGCCTATACTGTACTATACTTTTGTTACTTAATTTAATAACTAATACATTTTTTTTAAATAGGTAGAGTGTAACGTTCTCTAAGATACTATTTTTATATTACCTACATAACATTTCACAAATGTTTTCTAAAATTCTAAACTCTAATATTTTATTTTTTATATTTCGTCTACAAAAATCCAAGTGACGTCATTTTTAGTATGCCATAAATATTTGCCAAGGGCGCGTTCCCATTATGCAGTTTGCATATTTCTGCATTTATTTGTCGTTGGACAACTGTCGCGTCTAGCCTGTTCCCACATCACGACTATCCGTCGTGACTTTTATCATTGAACGACTATCGTGTCTAGAGTTGTTCCCACTAGATCGTGACGACAATTTATCGGTCCACAGCAGCCATCTTGTCATTTGCACGACAGAATCGTTAGAAGCTGCGATTATCTTATTTATCGTCTGACGACTATCGTTCTAGCTCTTCCCATTGTCACGACAGTCTATTGTTGTAACGACAAAAAAGTCGTGAATGACAGTTAATCGTGTTGTACTATATGTGAACAACTTCATTTAAATATACAAGTCATAACACTTTAAACTGCACGACTATCTGTCGCCACGACATAAAGGGACTACGCCATAAGCGGTTATTTTAAATTCTCTTAAAAGATTTATCTGTTAACAGTTTTCAGAAGTGCAAAGTAGGACCAAGCCGAATTCATGATCTGAAAATACAATAAAAATCTTAGTTATAAGCTGTGAAAAAAAAACGAGACAGAAAACAAATTCTAAAAAGTTTAAAACAAAAGTGACTTTCTTTATGTGACGCCCTGGTGACTTTATATACGAGTATCATAAAAATTTGCGGGCAAAAGGTGCGCTTCGAAGTGAAAGATTGGGTTAAGGGATCGTGCTTACACCAATCTTCAGATCCAGAGTCTCAAGCTCGTTTTGAGTTCAGAATATTTTTATATGCACAATATTTCCTGTGATTTAGCTCACGATTAAGATGACGTCACCATGATTTTCTTGCGGTTAAACAATTATATAAAGCCAGGCGGAGGCCGGAATAGTTCAGACCAATGAGTAGAGTAATAAAGGAATGTGCAGACTTAGAATAATGACGCATAGAAACCTAGTCCATACACGCTAAGTGAGGCAAATTGAAGCGCTCCCAATGGGCCATCATGAGCGGGCGGGTTTCAGTGCTCAAGGTCAACTTGCACCGCGAACAGCTCAAGAATTTTGCTAAAAATGACGAAATGTGCGGTAAATGAGTGAAAAGTACCTCAGACAAACATAAAATAGATACTAACATCACATTCCACAAGGAAGTAACGTGTTTCAACTTGTATTTTTATATAAATATTCACTAAAACCGAAAATTAACCTACTACTAAAACTAGCCTACATGAATTTGATTTTTGCCTCACTTGTGACAGTTCGTTGGATATGAAACTATCATTCTATGCGTTATTATTCTAAGTGTGTAGACACAGAATATATGAAAAAGCGATACTTTTTTTTATAAATTTTCATCCATTTATTTAGGTAGTCAAAAGTTCCACCATACAGCCTCTTCGTATATTATTATCTTACCTTGTTTTGATCGAAAAGGCGACAAAGGGCTGTTCTTATAAAAGTTATTTCATATTTTATGTCGTGATGGGTCGATGCTTTATAATTGTATAGGACAGGGTTAGTGTTTACTTTCCAGCAGTTGTACAGTTTTCAGTTTTTTTTTAATTCTTTCAAGTACGGAAAATGCAAAGATTTAAAACTGTACAGCCAAGTATAGTTTAAATGTAACGTAATAACGCTGTTTATGGGCGCCGATTTGGTTGAGATTCAGGAAACGGAATTTGGAGCTCAGACTCAAAACTATTACTAACGAAAGCCAATAGATGGCGTTACCAGTCACTGAAATATTCTTTTAATCTTGCTCACTCATCGTTATTTTTCAACACTTATTTTTCTCTCTTAAACTTTTTTGTTTTAAAATATTTCAGTCAAAGGTTCCTTAATGCCTAGCATGAAATTATTGAATTTCACTACGACTACATCAAAACAAATCCATGTATGCGACACACATATTATGTCAATAATGGTTTGTAAGGTAAGGAAACACCTGTCATGCATACATACTCTTTTAAAACCATAACGCAACTTGGACGTAGTCGATTAAAAATAAAAAAGGTTGATGAACTTTCTGCTAAACATTCGAAATGTAAATAAACCATCATTTAGTACCTTGGAAAAAGCAGTTAGATTCACATCTGCGTAACCGTAAGCGGTTAATTTACATGGTTTCTGTGCCCTGCAAAACGAACACATACAATTATTATTTTAAAGAAGAGACAATTTTTTGATTAAATAATATTGAACTTAGTTGGGAAAGTTTGAAACAACAATTAATTTAATTGAAAAAGATTTTGTTGTTGTTCCAGTAAAGAATCAGATTCTTCTTTAATTTATACGTGTCAATTTCAATGTTTAGATATTGGCAACATCGACAAAAACAAGTACCAGTACATCTTTACGCGGAATGCTGGCATTCCAATTTTGTTCCTGCGTAAATTAAATTTCACAAAAGAATTACCTCATCTGTAAAAAGTGTAACATCTTAGCATTTTTGGCATTCGTCAAATACCACTTAGAATTGTATACAGCATCGCTCACTTCTTTGCTCTGAAACCCAAAGTAAGTACTCAACATTTATTTTATTGAAGATTATGATGTTTTTACCATTACGATATTCATAATTTTTTTGTGAAAATACTAGGTATACTAGTTTGTTATTATTGAAGAACAAGAGCGTTTGTGTAAAGAGCGGTTAAATCTGAGAAGTAGAAGCTCAAATTGGTAAAATACACGTTTTATTAAGTCGAGAATAAAACAACATAAACGAGTATGGTGTTTAAAGCAAGTGCTAAGATCATTGAAGGAGGTCGCGTGCGCTCTGTTCACTATGACTCACCGTATATGTGTGTGTTAGTGTGTGCGTGCGTGCGTGTGTATAAATTATCGAAAAAGTGTCACAAAGTGTAATTTATATTCGACCGTTATAATGTGTTCGTTGAAACTTACTGATCTCATTAACATATCTCCGAACAGACAGTGACAAAATATCTGCACCAAAGAGAGGCAGAGAAAAGCAAAGAACATTACAACGAAAGCCAGATCATCAATAGTCTGAAACAAATAAGTTTTAAGAAGTTTTTAGGTTTTCACGATTGTTTCACATAGGAAATGAAACTATTTTTCCAGATTTAAATTGCGTGTATTTGTTTTCTCAAACAAACCAATGCTTCGGAGCCTTTACAGGTCCCATGGTGCCACGAAACGTTGATTTGTTTGAAAAAATAAATATACGCGTTTTAAATCCGGAAAAATAGTTTCGTTTCCTAAGTTTTAAGAATTTTATTTGCGTAATAATATACTAAATTTTATAGTATTATTTCATTTAAGAGAAACAAATTACAAATTCATTCGTTTTAATTCAAATTAGACAAATATGAAAGGATCTCTCAATTCAATGAGACAATATTCTATAACACTAGATTTAGTCATCGAAATAGAGCAATGGTAGTTCAGCGGGCTAACATGTTTTAAGGTACATACATTTGTGAATGTTAAGTAGCAATATCTCCTGCTAACGATGAAGAAAAATATCGTGATAAAACCTCCATGTCGGAGAAGGTTCACAACTAAAATATAATGCTCATGAAACCGAGTACCTAGGTACTGTCGTAACTCAAAATTGTGGAATTAAGAAAACAATTCGAAAATTAAAAAAAAATAATGCAATTATCTTATTGCGAATAATGTGATTTATTTGTATTATACTTTATACGTAAATTGTATTTTTAAGAAAATATAAAGAGTTGTAACGGAGCGTTAGTTCCAAACGACGCCGCTAGATGGCATTGATCCCTTTGAAGCTATTTCTAAAACGCGGTGTTAAGATTTTCCCTTGGCACTATAAGTAGTTAAGCAAAGTATTAGCGTTGGAGACAGGGGTTATGGGCCTTCAGCTCGCCCTTTCTTCTCCGGTGGCGCAGTAAAGGCCATCAGCGGCCAACTGCAAAATATCCTTCGTAAAAAAAAATAGCGTTGGATGACATAAACATAAGATGAATTTGAGGTAGACGTGCGCAAAACAGTACCTCGAAAAGTAATGTGATATCACATCACCTTTCCGTAAAAGTAATATTACTCTGTGATATTACTATTACCCACAACATCACACAGTGTAACACACACAACCAAAAAAAAAAAACACCGACTAATTGACAACCTCCTCCTTTTTTTGAAGTCGGTTAAAAAAGCGATGCGTTTTAAAACAACCTATAAAACGCATTTCTAGAACATAAACTTGCATAATAAACAAGATCTACTTACATATTACTAGAGAGAATCAAACAAAAATTACGAAATATTACGAACCGTCTGGCAACCCACACTCACCCTGGTTAAATTTTACATTATAAATTGCCACGTAATCAAGCAATGATTAACAAGTTATGCAATTTCATTTTAAATGTCTACTGTTTAATTCGTTTACATCATCTAGTAAGTTGTAAAATAACAAATGCACTCCAAAAATCAGACGTTAATTATAAGTTGTTACATAACCTCACTTTTACTAAATCTCTTATAGCTCTGCTTTCAGTTCAATTCGCAGAATTTTCAGTGATGGTACATCAATACCTACGCAATTAACTGATACTACCTTCATGTTTTTACATCTTGGATTGATTGTATGAAAGCGTATCCATCTCCTTCTAGATTACCAAGAAAGATCGAAATATATTTAACCAAGCACAAGCACTGATTAACAAATTATGCAATTTCATTTTAAATTGTCTACGGTTCCATCCTTTTACACCATTTAGTAAATTATGAAATAATTGGGGTATTAATACAAACATCGTTCTACTGCAATATTCCAAATTAGATGCATTTACATTGCATTTCGCATAATAGTATTAAACAAACATCACTCCGTGATGTTCTAAGCATCACGCGTAATATAAGCATCACGTGTACTGTTTCAGGTAATATCACGCGGGTAATGTTTCGGGTAATGCATCACGCGCGTACTGTTTCCGAGCGATGCATCACGCGGGTAATGTGTAATGCTAACATCACTCCGTGATGCTAACATTACGCGTGATGCTAACATTACGCGTGATGCTAACATTACGCGTGATGTTAGCATTACATTGCATCATTGCATCACAGCATTGCATCACGCCGCGTACTGTTTCGCGTAATGGGTGTTAGTAGCGACACCTGGCAGCAGCGCTACGTAACACTACGGCACGGATAGCAATGTCCCATCAAGTAGTAAGTCGAAAATTTGCTAGGTGGCGCTATTAATATCGATATATACCCAAGTTCACCTCGTATGTATAATAAAAAAACGATACATTACGAAATAATTCCTATACGCATCATAATAATTGTAAATTTAACTTGAATGATGGCGAGTGCGTGTGAGACTGAGATACTGTTATATATCTCGGATAATTTTCCGAGAGGTTATGGAGACGGGGCAGTCGGGGCCAAAATTTAATAAGTTGAGGTACGGTTTTAAAAAAAGGGTTGTATATCTAAAAGCCACCTATAAGAAAAATGAGATTTAAGATGATCTCACACAGTGACAAATCCTCCACCAACCACACCATCACCAACTCTTGTTGGCTCCATCGTTTTCGTTCAGTAACTTCAACATACGTACTGTCTTCTCCTTAGTCTGCGCTTCAACTTTTGAGTTTTGTTTTGATACTTGGCGTTGGCAGAAATCAAAGTCAACGTCAAATGTGGGAAAATTAGAGGAAAAATATTGCAAACATTTCCGGAAATCATTTATTTTTCTGAAAAATACATATGATTTTTTTAATGGAAATTTTTCCATGACCCAACACTGAGTGAGATTAACTGAGAACCCCGGAAAGATTTACAATTTACATTCATACTTTATTGTAACAAGAAAACACGTGATTTTTTTGGTTAGCATGCCTGGTGACAATGACAAGACAAGTGATGATATAACAATACATAAGCTATTTATTATTATCACCTTCAACTTTTACATCTTGGCCCAAGATTGTATAAAAGCGTATCGATCTCCTTCTAGATTACCAAGTAAAAAAATCAAAATATTGTAATATTATATTTAATAAAGCATTGATGTCACTTTAAATTGTTTACGGTTTATTTCGATTACACCATCCACCAACCCACACCAACCACCATAGCAAGTTATTAAATAATTTGGGTGCTAATACAAACATCGTTCTACTACAATATTCCAAATTAGATGCATTAACATTGCATTACGCATAATATTACTATTACACGAGATGTCTCATAAACAAACATCATTCCGTGATGTTACCGTTACAACGTCACTCGCATTACTTAGACTATAAACATCACTCCGTAATACCACCATCACGCGTACTGTTTCAGGTACTACATTACGCGAGTACTGTTTCCGAGCGATGCATCACGCGGGTAATGTGTAATGCTAACATCACTCCGTGATGCTAACATCACGCGTAATGCTAACATCACGCGTAATGCTAACATCACGCGTAATGAGAACATCACGCGTGATGTTAGCATTACATTGCATCATAGCATCACAGTATTGCATCACGCCGAGTACTGTTTCGCGTAATGGGTGTTAGTAGCGACACCTGGCAGCAGCGCTACGTAACCCTACGGCACGGTTAGCAATGTCCGATCAAGTAGTACGTCGAAAATTTGCTGGGTGGCGCTATTAATATAGATATTTACTATATTTAGTTCATTTTGGGAAACTCCCAGAGCACCCCGACATGGTCTATGTAATGGGTAATGTTATGAGTAATGCATATTTTTCCGAAGTGATGCGTGATATAACAGTACCCTGTCGCGTGATATCACCTTTGTAATATTACTCACATTACTTACACATGTCTAATTTGAGGGAGCACCTCATTCGAAAAAATGACGTGACTACCGCAATGATTCAACTGACAGGGAATATTAAACACATTATTCATAATCTGATGGTATCAATCATTTGGATAACTAAGGCTGGTATTCCAGAACTCTACTCAATACTGAAGTCAGGACTAGACATGGAGAATAGCGTTACATTTCCATCGTCGTGACTGTCTTCCAGTTCCAAAAAAAATCACCGTGATTTTGTCACGACTGTTACTTCCGTGACGTTGTCACGCCTATAACTTACATCATGATATACGGTTTTAGCCAGCTGCTTCTTTCTAATACTTATAGCCGTTTTTTATAGAATGATTCAAGTTTTTACTCTCAATCTCTCTCAAAATCTGCAATAAGTTTCAATTCCGTTCAAATAACTGATTTTGTATTTAATGTAATTTTGTTTGTTATGTACTAATTTAATACGAATCTTTGGATTGTTAAAAATAGGAATAAAGTGTAATGTAATATATTTCTAGTAGAATACACAAAGTAGATTATACATAAATATAAAATATCAACTCTTCCCATAGTAAAACAAATACACAAAAATATTTTACAATGTTAATAAATAGGTTTATAGTAACTGCTGCAGATTTTTTTCATCTGCCCTTTTTAGTAGTAATAAGCACCTACGACCCTTGTGAGTGAGCAAAGAAAGTCATCCTATCTCCCATCGCCGAAATGGCCCGATTTGAAGAGAACTACAACGAGTGGCGCGCTCATTCACCACGGAACGTAGATCGCGCATTGTATCAAATACGTATGTATGTTGTGATGTGAGTGACGGGGATAGCTATTGGAACGGAGGAACACCTATGTGACTTTGGAACGTCGTTCCTTCGGAACAAGCCACGGTGATACTGTTTGACGGCGGATCATCGTGATTTTTTCATCGTGACGTTATTTATCACCCACCTCTAGTCAGGACTTAAGTATTGGAGTGAGCACTGAAAATCATACTCAAATCCTTGCCATTAGTGTCGTATTTCCAGTGCTTGAAATCATTCACAAGTCTGCTCAAATCCTGACTTGAGCATTGAGTAGAGTTCTGGAATACGACCCTAAGTGTGTGCGATATATAAATAAATGCTAATCACTGCTGCAATCCCTCAATACCGATACTATATATTTTATACACTATTAATAAATTACTAGAAAATAAACTGGTTCCAAATGTTTATAGCATTAAATAA